AACATGTGGGTCTCAGAGGAGAGCAACTCTGAACAGCAGCTTCCGGCCGTGCGCAGACAGAGCGACGTCGGTTACGTCGTGCGCCGGAAGCCCAGTGCACGTTACAAGTTGGCGGGTGGAGATGACGACGAGCTGCAGGCCGAGGTCGATTAGTGGTGACGATGTATCTGATTTATTATTTCTATTTATCTGACGCCATTGGTTCTCTGCATATGTGCATTCCTTTGCGTGTGTGCCCACCTGGGCTGTAAGCCCTCACCAAGGGCGGGCGCCGAACCCGATGAACTTGACTTGCAAGCAGATGCGGTACCGGTGCTGAATGTCTTTATCTATAAATGTCGCCGGCGAAATGCTCAGGGGTTCGAGTCTCGGGAATGTCATGCGCAGGGATGCGTTCACGGTGCTTATTGCTAATCCTGCGACGGGCACATAGTCGAGCCTTGGTTTTTGGTACTACGGGTAACGTATAGCACATCCCGCCGTGTTCGATCACCAGCGGCCGACGAGTGATGCAGACTGGGGCGCTCGGTACTTTTCGCCGCCGCCAGCAGTGTGCGTGCCACGCGGAACATTGTCGACAGCGTCGAAGGCGGGGAGACCGGGCACGACGGAGACGGGCCCTGGCTGGGCTATGGCTTGTAGCAGGCTGGGCCCGGGTGATGAGCGGGGCGGGATGCCGCATGGGAGCGTGCTGCGTGGTGCGGGGCACGAACTTCTTAGAAGCCTGGGCGCGGGCGCCAACTCGCGTGGGGGCCAGGTCGCGTCGAGCTCGCTCTCCTCCTCCCTCCCATCACCTCCTTCCCTATTTTACTTGCCGTGCCTTTAGTTCTCTCCACTAATTCGAGTCGTCCGCACAACCCTGTCTCTGCACCACCCCCGACGGGATCGTTTACAATGAAGTTCTACTCTCAGTCCTTCTTGTACGAGTGAGTTCGCGTTTCTCCTTGCTCTCTGCGCCCGGCCATGCATTCCCACCGACGACCAACGCACCCCGCCCTCCACAGCGATCCCTGGCCCATTGTCACCCTTGCGTACTTGCTGCGCTACCCAAATCCAATGGCGTCCCATATCCTCTCGTGCGACGTCATTTCGCGCGAGGTCACCGCCGCCGGCTCGCTCCTCACCACGCGCCTCATCCTTAAGACCGGCTCCATGCCGCGCTGGGCGCCCAAGGGCATGATCCAACGCGCCGAGTCGTGGGTCCTCGAGGAGAGCGAGGTCGACCCGCTCGGCAAGGTCACGCGCTGCACCACCAAAAACCTCGACCACGTCAAGGTCATGCGCGTCGAAGAGCACATCCACTTTCGGTCAACGCAAGACGGGTGTGTATCTTTGCTGCCTTTTTGCGCTCTGAACGCGTATGCTGACGCGTGCGGGCAGCAAAACGATGCAGACGACCGAGGCGAAGTTTGTCTCGGGCTTCGGATGGGGCTTGACGAAGCGGATTGAGAATTACGGGCTCACTAAGTTCAAGGCTAACTTGCAACGGGTGCGTCTCTGCGCGTTTCATCGATCCTCCCGCAGTCCGAGCTTAAGACGCTGCAGTCTCGCGAAGGGTTCTCGATAATCCTGAACCTTATTCGTCAATCGCGTATGCAAGCGACCATGACTATGGGCGCCCCTCACTCTTTCCTCTCCGCGCCCCGCCTTACGCCCTTCCCGACTCAAAAGCTGCACACCACGAGCTCGCGACCGACACTGTCCAGACACCTTCCTCTCAGGAGGGCCTCCTAGGCCCTCAATGTGGTCCCGGTGGCAGTTCTGGCAACGGTCGGGTTGAAGTCCTGCCGTCGCGCGACCTCCACCATGGATTCTCAGCATCCAGAATCAGACTTCTCGCAGAGCTTCCAGTGCTCATTACTGTATCGTAGTGCCAGACTCGGCTTTGGGTCGGCCTTGCATATCCCCCACACCCCTGCTCAGTTGGTCGCTTTTGTTAGTCCGTTCGTCGTGCATATTCTCAGCTGTACAACACGTGTAGTTCTAGCCGGCCCGTAGTTAGTTATCGTTCAAGTTCTATCCCCAGTTCCTCGTGTGCGTGTGCGTGCGTGCTGTCGTCGAACACCCGTCCTGCGCTTGCAGCAACTTCGCACACCATCACGTTCAGCAGCTGAACGTCCCGTACATGAACACGGGACTCTATCTTGGCGGTGATATAGAATTACTCTCACTCAACTCACGAGTGGACAACACCTCTTATGAGAAACCTTTGACGCTCTCTTGATGTCGTGCGGCAAGTTCAGTACTTCATTGCTGCCCTGACGGTGTGCACCCTCTTGCCCCGTGATATTACAAAGCTATATACGAAGTTGAAGAGCGCCATGCGAATGGCAAAAGCATTTCAGGATCGCGGTCGCTTTGGGCTATCCTTCCCAGACAGTTACTGTCTTTGGGGGACTCCCTAGGAGTGGAATTCCCGAAGCTACCACAGGGATTATTAGAGGTGTAGAGTATGAGACGACGGCCGAATGACTGACCATTCCGAACGCGTAGCTAGAAAAGCTGGTCTTGATAAAGTTGCCATCGTGTGCTGAGAGCAATACTATCCCAAGAGTCAGCACTAACCCTCGCGCTTGTGCCGAAACATACCCTCTAGTGCACTCGCATGGCGATGGACCGCCAAACGGATCTGGTCCAGAGAGATCCAGGATCGAACAAAAAATTCCTTCGTGTTGAAGACGTCCGTCTCGGCGTCGAAAATCTTCCGTGCATTGCGAAGGAGCAGGTAGATCAGGAAGAAAACAGTCTGGTATCAAAAGAAGGGCGTAGTAAGCCTCCCATGTGTCCAGACCCTAGTCCGGGAACACGCACCTTTCCGAACTCCCCTTGATCAAGTACCAACGTCAACGTGTGCAATGAGTCAATGTCATACTGGATCCTCTCTAAGTTCTCCCCTAGTCGTTCCTCCTCAAACTCGATCATTTCCCGGAACTTCTCTAGGAGGTCTTTTCTTTGAGGGGGACCGTCAGAGCCTGAGATCCCGCGCACGAGCTTCCCGATCCAATTGCAGTGGTATTTCAGGAAGGCACCCACAAGCTGCTTGTTCCGGGGAAGCATGTCCGGAACGGTCGCACGAATATCGTTCAGAATGGCCGAAATCTTGGTCACGTACTCGAGCGCCGCAAAACGCCACCCTGATAAATTGCGTGTGTCAGACAACACGCTCGGTTGTGCAAATGTCAGAGTGGGACGAACCTACGGCGCTGTATGCTAGCCACCGGGGAATACTGAAAGTAGTTGTTAAAATTTCCAACTGAAAGCTTGAAGAAAACCAAGTACGTACCTCCATTCGAGTGATAGAGGACGCATGTCCATCAGTTTGTTCACATCTGCCCAGGTAACGAAGCCTGCGAAGGCGTTTCCTGAGGGTTCCATGATGGGTCGCCCCCACAGAGGACTGAGGAATGCGAGCGCCCAGCGGTCACCGTGGTATGTGCAGAGGCCAGCGTCCTTCCAGTAGAAATTGCGCTTGTAGTGGGCATGCAGGCCCAAGACGAACTGATCAATTTCGACAACCGACTGCCACTTCTACGGGAATACGTAAGTCTCCACACAGCCCTAAAACCTGCCAACATGCACATGACGCACCAGATCGGCCCAGATCTTCCGCATTTCCTGGAATAAACGGACGAAATAAGCACCGCACCATCGGTTGGGCTGCTCCAGAGGACTTACGGGATCGCGTATGTACACATTCAGGCGCTTGTTCGATGCCTTGTCGTCCGTACCAAAAACTTTATACTCGTCCATGTCGAGGGCCAGAAGGATAACGTCAACCTCGACGCAAGTCTGGAGCTGCCACTTGCCAGTCAATGTTTCCAAGTTGCGCTGTAGCACATCTTCCGGGTGCTCGCACAGCTCCGATTTTAGGTTCTCGAGCTTCTGGCCCTCTGTCAAGGTCTGACCCCAGCCTGCGTCTGCCACGGTGACCATGGCCATAAGGCGCAATAATACCGAGTCGTTTTGCAACGCCGTTCCAGAGCCACCTGCCCGGTCAATTGCCGCTGCAATCTTCTGCTCATTGGGAAGCACAAGTTTCTCGAAGAGGGTCTGGATGCTCTTCAATCTATGTAGAATAAATGGTGAGCCACATCGAAGGTTCCCGAACGTAAACTTGAACGCACCTGTTGCTGATTATTTCGGGTTGGAAGGTCGAAGTTGCGGAGTACGTAGTGGGCATGAACCTTTCGAACTCAATCTTCCGTTCGATGAACGTGTCGACCCACGTGGCCAGCGTTTGTTGCCAGAAATGCCCGCGAAGGCGCGCACGAGGGGGCTGGTCCTGAGGAAGACGTCGCACACATTGGCACTCTGGAGGATGTCCCGCCCTACCTCTAGCGAGAACGCCTCTAGGTCTTTCAGATTTAACTGTTCAGCTGACGCCGCTTTTTGAGTATTTTTCAAACTGCGTGCGATATTAATACTCCTGTTGCCGGAAAGCATTGCGCACGACGTACTCCATCATCAAGGTCATTATGTCTCTCATGGCCACATAGAGTACCAGAATTCGTGAATCGTTCTCTCTCTTCGTCATCTTGATGGAACAGAAAGCCTTGAAAGCCACCACAGCATCTAGGTGTGGGCTTACTCAGAACAAGAGTAGCGGTTAATCCCTGTGCGACGAACCTGCTGTTGCTGGATAACCCTTCGCGAGGTCATAGAGGCCATTGATCAGCCGTGTCGTGTTGGACAAGGACTGTACTTCGCGTTCCACCTTGCGTACAACTTCTGAGCCGTCCGTCTCCTCGGGCTCACCGGACACAGCATCGCGGATAATTTCGTTGATACTGACGACGCCGCCTACTTTTTCGATTGTACTCATGAAATGTCGATGATGGAACTGGTAGATACTCACCGGCATGGATCGAAGTGAATCTTCGAGCGGATGTGGGGTCGTTTTTTACGATCAACTCCAAGAGCTTCGCACGACATTCCTCCCGTGAAGTCGGGTCAACGGCGGGCTGAGGTGACTCGCTAACAAGAGTTGCTGGAGTTGTCGTTGACGTGTTGGCGCCGTGAGACCATACTTCATGGAAGCCCTTGCGGACGCGATTCTTGAATACGGAGAAGCACATGAGAGTTGGAGAGTTGAGACACGCACACTTGAGGACATCTGATATGTGTGCGAAAGCCTTGCCCCTTATTAACAAAAATGAGGGGACAGATGGGATACAGGGGGTGAGTCCATTGGTGCGCGCGATATCACAAAGTGTGCGGTCTTCAGACCATGACGAGGTAAGGGAGAGAGATAAGTCGCCTGCGCTTGGATCCCAGCATTGCAATGCCGGGATGGCGGTCCGGCTACTTCGCGTCATCTGGTGAGCGTGCGACGCTTGGACTTCCCTGTCCCGCAAGACTTAGTAGGCCGGCGACTCCCACTTTCATCGCTCCATGTCTCGACCCCACGCGCCGTTGCAGACAACGCCAGCTCACTGCGCAACGCGCCTGTAGGCCCCTACCTCTTAATCGCGCCGCCATGTACTTCCCGACCTCCGCGGCAAGACAGCTCTCAAGTGTGCCGCCGCTCCCGCTGTCCTCCGAGCACGTTTTCGCTATCGTCCCGAGCCCGCGCAAGACGCTCTTCGCGTCGCTCACCAGAAGTGGTCTCACCCTCTGGCGCGTCCGGGTGCGTCCCGACTGTTTTCAGGCTTCTCTCCCCCTGAAGCAACTGTGCTGACGAAGAACCAACGGCCAGCCGTCTGGGGTGCTTGCGCACCTTGAGCGCACCACGACATCGATCGCGGAGCACGGAGAGAACCTGAGGTTGCATTGGTCTCCGGAGGGCCAGAGGATTATCGTCCAGGTGCGTGTCATAATCGCTCGCCGGAGGTTCGGACGTAACGATGGCTAAACTACGCCTGTGCTTCATGCAGACCACCAGATCGTACCTTGTCCTGGTTACGCTCGAGTACAATGCGAACGAGCTGCGTACCAATCGCCGCCGCTCGCGCCGAACGCGGCGCGCCACTTCTTGCCCGGGGCTGGCGAAGCCCTGCCGTTCCAGTCGCTGTGTTTGCGCATGGAGGGGGTCATCCGGATAGACGGGTCGTTGCTCAGGTATGTACGCAATCTGTTGATCGTTTCGTGCTCATGATGGGATTTCCGTGGTAGCGTTTCTCCGCGAAAAGACTGGATTGTCTTCTCAACCGCCAACCCGCCTGCAGTGCAGCGAGTGCCATGGCCAGATACCAGCGGGGAGGGAGGTTCGAAGGGGGATTATGACACCTGGGTCATGAATGACGAGGAGTTTCCGTGGCTTGTGGATGCAGACGGTGTGCCCCTTCGTTCACTATACCCATTCGACATTCTCACAGACGCATGATTTACAGTGAGTGTATGTGAAATCTCTTTCCACCGGCAAACCGGCTTCGAGACTTGGATTACCTCCGACGGACGGGCGTACCTGGTACAGCTGGTGGAGGACCACGAATCCCAACTCGGTGCCCCAAGCGCGTCTGATGCCAGTGCCGACGATGAGCGAGTCCAGGTGCGTTACACTGTCCCCCGCTGCAGACAAGTCGTTCTCACTGGCTTGCTTCTCGCAGATTGGACCTATTCCCCACACCCGGCAGTCGTCGGAGAGTTCTGATTCGGCCTCGCCAATACAGTGGCACGGCACCTGCATCCACCACGTCGACCCGCCGCGCTGGGTGCAGAAGCGCAAACAGGTCGACCCCGGCGACCTCGCCTCGTACTCTTACACGGAGCCGAAGCGCGCGATGACCGTCTCGCTCAACCCGAAGTTCTCCATGCTTGCGATCGGGACGTACAAGTGAGCGACGGTCTGATCTTCTCTTGGGAAGTGTCCTGGTCGCTCATTGCGTTGCACTCGGTACACAGCGGCGCGGTCGAGTTCGCAAGCTTTCCGTCGCTGGAGGGCATCGTGCCGACCCCGCAGGTGCTGCAGATCCCGAACATGTACGCGCGCGCCGGCACGGGCTCGGTCTGTACAATGGAGTGGAGCTCGGATGGGTATGTGCTGGCTGTCGGCTGGGAGAAGGGGTGGGCGGTCTGGAGCGTAGGTGGGCGGTGCCTTGCCTGGGGATTCGGCGTGGAGTACGAGGTGGATGAAGAGCGTTTCCAAGATGCGTTTATGTACGGCGTGAGGAGCTTAGTGAGTGCAGTCCGTTCGTTGGCTTGTGTGGGCGCTGATCCGTCGCACAGTTCTGGGCTCCAGGAAACTTTGAGCTCTTTATGCTCGCCCAATCATCTCCGAACAGTACGTGCAGTGACCATCTCTTCAACGCGGCTTCTCAGACACGCTACCTAGAGCCCGATGGGCAGATGTTCGTCTTGCCATTTGCCAAGAGTGCTACTACGGGACAACAGTCACCAGTACGCAGTGGTCGCATTTATTCCACTTATCACGACTAAATACAAGTCCTAGGATAATACGCAATACGGCTTCTTGCAAATGGACGACCGTGTATTGGTTTACCGAGGCGCGGACCAACCCGACATGAGTGTCATCAACCCTGAATCGGATGTCTGGCAGCATATCAAGGTTCCCCAAACATACATGTCTGCGCACTGGCCTATCCGATATTCATCACTAAGCACGGATGGGCGTCTTGTCGCGATTGCAGGACGAAGGGGACTCGTTCATTACAGCACTACTTCGGGAAGGTGGAAAATGTTTGCGGACGAGCGGCAAGAACAAGCTTTCACCGTCAAAGGCGGGCTGCTGTGGTTCCACCACGTTCTTATTGCTGCTGTAGAGGTTGCTGGGGGATATCAGGTCGGTCCACTTCCGGCTTCACAAGGACGATTATGCTCACCCTGCCATTCGACAGGTTCGCCTGTACTCCCGCGACCTCGAGCTGAGTAACCAGAATGTCCTGCATCGAGAGATGATGACCTGTCCAATCGTCATCCTCTCCCTCGTGGACAACTCATTACTCGTCTACACAGCGGACAACACGCTTCACCACTACCTCATCGTGCCCACGGCGGACTCCATCAGGCTGCATCTCTGCGGGAGCATCACATTCGACGGAGTTATCGCCGTCCCAAACGCCGTCCGGGCTCTTAGTTGGATGATTCCAGCTGCGCAGAAGCGTACGTCCTTCTTCACTTCCCAGACTAAGCGAAGAAGTGACGGAAGGTTGACTTCTCCCGTGCAGAGCTCGGAGATCCGGCCGAGGACCTATCAGTGGCCACGGTCCTGATGATTGTCGGGGGGAAGTTGGTCCTGCTCCGGCCTCGCAAAGTCCGTGTCTTCTGCGTCACGCTAAAACCTTTCTGACGCCTTCCCTTCCTGACCGCGCGGTTGACTGTGCGCCTGTAGTCGGAAGAGGGCGAGGTGCGGTACGACATGCAGATACTGGCTGACCGGATCGAGTTCTGCTGGATACACCTCCGAGGAATCGGGACGCTGGAGAACTCGCTGTGGGGCTACGACGGGCAGGGTATACGCGTCTGGCTAAACGCGCTAGCCATCGAGGCCGTGCCTCCCCCAGCAGAAGAAGGCGGTATGGTACTCGATTATGTCAAAGAGAGCGTCAATATCCCGCTGGACTTCTACCCACTATGTGAGTTTGCAAACTCTCCGCACTGCAGTACTTTTCTCATTCAGGGATCAGCGGTCCTGATGGACAAGGGTATCATCATTGGGGTGGAAGTCGAGGCAGCGACGAGGACAAGCCTCTCGTTCACTATGTTCCGACATGTCACCAGTGTACGCAGTCATCCCCCTGCAACCCAAGTCCTCCGCTGATATGTCTCATTCAGTCTCACCTTTTCCTCCATCACATCTTGCAGTCCCACCTGGAAAATGCTCAAGGGAAAGAGGCCGTCGTTTTCGCCTCTCACTACCAGCACCTCGTCTACTTCGCACATGCGTTGGAAGTCCTTCTCCACGCGGTCGTCGAAGAAGATGCGCAGACCGGGTCCGAGTCCACCCCGGCGGGCACTCCCAAGAATGGGCTGCTCACGACTTCCATCGAGTTCCTGGACCACTTCGACGATGCGCTGGACGTTGTCGTAGGATGCGCGCGGAAGATCGAGATGACGAGGTGGCCGAGGTTGTTCAATATTGTCGGAAACCCAAAAATATTGTTTGAGGTATGCCAACCGCCGCCCACCTGCCATCGTCTCTCGCTCATTTGCGTCGGCAGTCTTGTCTGTCGTCCGGCCGGCTGAAGACCGCCGGGTCGTACCTCCTCGTCCTCCACGGCCTCGAGCAACTCGATGGCATGAACGACGACGCGAACCGGCTGCTACGGAGCGCCGTCGCTGCGCAGGACTGGCAGCTGTGTCGTGACATCCTGCGCTTCCTGCACTCGATCGATGACACTGGCGCCGCTCTCCAGGCCGCGCTCGTCGAGACGCAGATCGTCTCGCCCGAGGGCTCGCAATTGGGCCAGCTTCCTCCCGAGTTGAATGGGAACGGGGTTCAGGTTCAGAACGGCAACGGGAGTGCGCACTGAAGTACTGA